GCTTGCGATTTCATCAGACCCTCTATGCCTGAGCCAGGACAGAGGAAATGACACTTTAAACGGTTGGCCCGGGGACCACAGCACCAATCAAGAGTAAAGTCATCTTACTGCGAGCTGGGTGTCTGTCCCCTGATCCCACACCCGTCTAGACTGGTAGGGGGCAGGGAGAAGAGAGGACACTGCCTGCTTGTTCTGTGCCCAGGGTGACATCAGATTTGCCAACCCTCTCCCGACATTCCGTTCACGTGCCCTTGCAGTGCCAAAGTCCCAGGGCCAGGCTGGAATTCGGGACACATCATGCAGGCGGTGTGTGGGTTTCTGGACTTGTTTGCTTTTAGTTAAACAAATGCACTTGGCTTCAGAAACTAGGTCCAGAGTGATCAATAATCAGAAGTGTCACAACTTGAGAAAAATTTCACATTCGTTTTATCTGAATGCGTTCAATGGCATTCATGTGAATCACCCCCACCATTCCTCAAAATTATCCCTCCTCGATCACACCAGATCATTAAGGCGAACAGGAGACCTCATTCTCTTCTCATCCAAAGCCTGAATTCTAGCTTCAACATGCAAAATAAATTTTTAAAAAATTTAAAAAGGGAGAGCTGATAGAATTGCACAGGTAAAATTGAAAAACATAGAGGCAGAAAATGGAATTCGAAGTACGACTTCTTTATACACATCAGAAATCCATCCAATAACTCCATTATTTACAGCTTCCTTTCTTGTTTTTGAAACTGCCAGGGGACTGATTTATTTAATGATCAGCCACAAATACACATTACAGCATAAGCTGGTGATGTTAAAAGGAAAGGATTTGGATTTAACAATCACTTTGAGTGTTGACTGTCAACATCAGAGGAGCCTGTGACAATGTACTCTATATTGTAAAGAGGCAAACATGTTGGCATCGGAACTAAGTACGTGGGCCCACCTGCAATTCTCATTCCAGTGTTAGCAGGATACACACCACCTAGTAATTTCTTGACTAGCCTGCCCTCCACTTGCCCTTCTCCTCTACCTAAACCGGGGAGGGACTGGGGTTGATCTCAGGGGTGGCCATCTGCCCCAGGCAAGCTGTCAGGCACACAAAAAGCACAGAATCTCAATGGTCATTTGAAATAATGATTGTCTTACATATACCTCCACCAAAGCAGGTAATTGAGAGGGGAGTTCATTCCCTTGGTACTCACGGATACGGGAATGAAGACCAGATCCGAATTACTATGAAATAACTAATGAAAGCGCTGGAAGTATTCTGAAGGAGTCTTACATTCTTTTTCCGGCTACCAGGGTGGTGTGACCCTTGGCAAGACATGAACATAAAACCACTGCTTTCTCTATGAAATGCATCTAAGATCTATTCCATTTATCTCATAGGATTGTTCTCAAAAGTTCTTTAGAAAGTTTATGTAAAAATATATAAATAAAACATAGTATAAATTGCTACTGAATTATTTGAAGAAACTCATTTCTTTCTCATAATGCAGAGTTGGATACTATCGTTAGGGTCTAAAAAATAAATTTATTATCTAACAGATGAAACTAATTGAATTACAGAAAAACCTAATTATAATTCTTCAGATTCACTAGGCTCATAATTTACATGGCAATGAGCTTGTGGGTTGGGCACTGATTAAAATCACTGTTGTTTAAAATGGTTCATTCAATCATTCTTTGGGGATGCAAACTCAAGTTTAGCAAAGACACTTTAAAAATGAAATAATGTTGACATTCTAAGGAAGGATTAAGCAAATTAAGAAACCATAACTGAAAAATCTTTTAATACGATCTTACTGATTTCCTCAAAACTGAATGACCAGAAAATGGAATTTGAATTATAAGTCAATCCTAAGTCTTCATCCCCAGTATCCTAATACAACCATATAATAATCAATAAAGAGCCGCCATCACCAGCAGATAGGAATGTGAGCTTTCAGCTTTGCAGAAACACAAGTTCTAGTTGGAAACCAACTTCTGGCACTCAGCATTTGGTGAGTCCTGCCTTGAATACTAATCAAATGGAAATAACCTTAAGTTAACACTAATGTAAATCCACTAACATTCTTAACAAGGAAGTACATTCCTCCAACAGACTTGTGGAAGATTAGCACAAACCATGGAGAGTATGTAGCCCAAACCTCAATTTCTAGAACTAATGGCTTTAATGCCTCGCAGCATTTTTTTATCAGAATGATCAAAGACCTAAATTATTGGTTATTTCTCTGGATAATGATCAGTGCCTGTGCACAGAGCGTGTGGGATATCCCACATACAACAAAAATGTGTGCAACAAGGGAAGGCGTTATATTTCTTCTTATTTAAGAAACTAGGTGGTGAGAGTTATTTCCATATTGGTATCGCAGATTTGGGTGCTTTTTGCAAATTCTGAACCTGGGATTTAATAGTGCTTCGTGGGCTCCTGGAGGATAAACTTGAACGTGTCTAGAAACGTGCAGCACAACAGAAATTAAACACTCGCTTTCCTGCTCTGCATTTATTGGGGCTACAGAGACTCAAACAGCTATTTTCCTCTCAAATAATTCAGAAAAATATAATACAACAGCAATTTCTTAAATACATAACAAAACTTTCTGGATCATGAATCGACATGAGATGTAACAGCCTACAGGTATCGATTGGACAGCTTTATAAAATGTCACTCATCTACGGCATTATGAAATTGTCTTCAGAGCTACACACATATATATGCATGGTTCTATATACATAAAGGCATCCATTCATGAACAGAAAGTCAAGCACTGTGTACAGAAGGGTAAAATAATACATAGTCTGTATAATCTTTAAGAGACAATTTGGGGTTCCAAGCAATAGTGATTTACATTCAAATAAACATGTACATTTTCAAATCTAGATAGGTAAAATTTTCATGATGCAGGCTACAGGAAAATTCACACTGTGAATTATTTGTTCTTCAAAGGCCTCTTTATCAAAATAGAGATTTCAATGCCAGAGCAAACACCCATTACATGAACAAACAGAATGCCTAGGACTCTAAAATTTGCTTCCATATGCCTTTCCCCCTCATCTCCCTACCTAGTAACCAGAGAAAAATTCCCAGAAGGAGCAGCAGCGCGATGTTGTGACTTTATATCTGTTAGGGTTTCTGGATGGGGGGTTATTACATCCAGATTAGAATCTGGTGAAGGAGTTTTGGTTTCTATTTTAAATAGACTATACTACTCCAAACAGAAATTATTTTGCCACGACATCCAAACATGATCATGTAGCCCGTATTTCTTCCTAGTATAGAAAGAGGATCACTAGGAGAATATAGGCTGACAGAGGAAGGAGGCAGGTTAAACTCTCTCACTGGCCAATTATCCCAAATGAGAGCATCTGTCTCTGTTATCGACGTTGTCAGTTCTCTCCTTTATAAACAAAGTTTCTAGCTCGGCTTACACCTTGCCCTTTGAGGCACCAGAGATCTATCTCGGTCTAACCCACCAGCCTATCCCTGTTGATTCTGACAGTCTTACACAGGCCAATTCACGTAGCCACATAAGGTAGAAGTCACGATTTTCCAGGCACTTTTCGACATTTAAAAACTTAAATCCGGTTGTTAAAAAATCTGTTTCACAAACAACCCCCACTCCCTGTGCTCTATGAAAAAGTAGCTGATTTTGTTACAGCATCTCTGTGAGAAGACAAATTCCTTCAGTTTGGCCAAGGAAACGGTATGGATGTTTTCTCCTACTTTTACTCCAAATTTGGGAGCGCTGCCTCTGATAACATAGGATGTTAGGTTATTCGAAGTCAGCCCCTGTTTAAAGATTCTTTGTGGACTCGAGCTTAGAGAGTTCACTTGTGCTGGAGGACATTGCCACGACAGACATACTTGATACAAAAAGGCAATTTCATTGAGTTCCTGTGATCCCCTGAGCAGTTATAAATGCCCTTTGCTATAATGAGGCAGTGTTAAGACAAAGCAAATTATTCAAATACATGTACACTTGTCTTTCTACTAATATGAAATACATTGATAGAAGAGGGTACTCTTGCTCTGAAGCGTTCAGAGTTTCAAAGGAAAATAAAGACACTTAATATTGAGACATTTCCAAAAAATGATTAAAAATGTTTTTGGTTAGTTGCCATTCAAAAGTTTTCCCAGAGTTCTCATCTATGTTTTATACAAATGGTAAATAAAAATGTACACGACCAAGAGATGTACTACACACAAATCAGGTATCGATATGTACGTGTGAACTAAAGTTCCTTAAATATACACACCCCCACTCAGGATACATTCCATTACATCGGCAAAGCACTGTTCTTTAATAATAGGTCCAAGATAGCAGCAATTTAATAACTAGTTACCCAGTTACCTTGGGGAAGTACGATGGGTTCTGACAGTCCCTCGTGGCGGTGTCGCCAGCTTCAAGGAGAGCTCTCTACAAGCATCTTACAGATTCCCATGAAGCACCAGGCTACGTTGCTAAGGGCAATTAGGTAATCCTGTCAATGGAGAAAGGTTATTATCTTTTCAAAACCCGTGTATTCAAAAATCTGATAACGGGGAAAAAGAAGTTGCCATAAGGCAATACCAACCCAAAGCATTTATGATACAGAAAGCATTTACATTTTATTTCTTGCATTTTTTTTTTGTTATTTTTTTTCTATTTCTTGTACACACAGGAAGTGTCTGGATTGCCCTACCAGATGCTGGAAGAGCAATACGAAACTGAGGCTCTGAGCTGTGTCTGAAGAGATGTAAGTACCAGATTATCAGTGTTTTTACAAAACTGAGATGGCATGACATTGAACCAGACGTTGTTTTAAAAGAGTTAGGTTTATGAGTCTATACCATTGGGTGAGTTACGAACTTGCAACCAAAATTTACATATATAATATGCAAAAGAACAAACCCTTCAGGTTGACTTATAATAAATCACATTTGCCCCAGAAGGAAAGACAGAATGGCTTTGAGGAAACATTTATATTCTGTGTACCACTGGATAGACTCACGCATGCCCAGACTCACGCATGCCCAACGGATGGAAATTCTAGGTAGGCAGAAGCTTATCGGACTGGTGTACACATGGACTTGGATACGCAATCCTGGTGTGTACTTTTAGGGCCAACTCTGTGTGGGATGCATGAACACAGAGCTCAGGAAAGGTCTCTGTTACCTATGATGAAGGGTACCCTTGACCCTCGGCCACTTGACCCATATTGCCTATAAACAGATCCTGGAGACCACAGCTACTGGCTGTAGGAGGACAGTTGATCGCCTTTACCAAGGTGCACTGGCCAAGGGAGAGCTACTGGATCAGACCACACTGTTTCAGTGGCCGCAACCCCTCCTCTTGGAAGCGACAACTCCCTCTGCACAGCAGTTTCTCCTGCTTGAAGCGGAGATCACACGGGAAGAAACCTACTGTGTTTCTGCCAAGTCACTGTGGGAATGCCGGGAACAGCACCCCCGGGAGCCCGCAGAGGCAGAACCAACAGACCCGCTCCTGCTGCTTGGCGCTTACGACAACTTCCCCTTAAACAGTGTTATCCTTTCCCTCCTACGGGGGGCCGGGTTTCTCCCATATTTCTCATGGGGGTCAAATCAACATAGAACAGATTCTAGCTGATGAGTTACGATGTGTGTTGCCAACCGTGACAACACACTGATGATACTGAGTATTCACTCGGGCTCTTCGAATTTGGCTGGAAGTTGAACAGTCCAGTGGGATCCTGCGGAAGATAAAGTGACGGTGGGTTAGCTCCTTCTCAGCACCCCCAAAGCTTCCCGACATGCTCCAGAGACGCCGGTCGAGACTGCAGAATCCGGGTCCTTCTCTTCAGACAGGCTTTTCTGATGCCTTTTCTGATGCCAAAGGCAGGCAGGCCAAGTTCAAAGTCTGGACACAGAGGCACTTCCAAAGTTTGGCAAGGAGGGGGCAGGTTCACTAAGTGGGGCTTTATCTCCGTGCTTCTCATTATAACCCCAGACGTCTGTGGCACGTGCACAGGAGCGGAGACCTTTAGGTCGTGGAGGGGTCGTGCTTTTTCTTCTTGCCCCGACAGGACTTGCAGACACAGCAGATTATACACGGGGAAGCCAGGAGCAGCAAGGGTGAAGTCACCAGGGCAATGATGCCCAGTCCCACCAGGATCCCCACCACCTGGAAATTCGGAAGAAAAGCTTAGTTCAGCGCTTCAGTCTCCCTAGATGCGCACTGAACCATCCACCATCCACTACAGACGGAATGCTTATCTCCTCCCCCACCCCACAAAAATTCCCATGTTGAAACCTTTATGTCCAACATAATGGTATTGGGAAATGAAGGCCTTTGGGAGGTAATTAGGACTGGAGGGTGGAGCCCTCACGGCAGGATTAGTGCCCTTATAAAAAGAGATTATCAGAGCGCTTGCTTCCCCCCACCTCCCGAGCAGGCGGCACCATGTGAGGACGCGGTGACAAGAAGGCCACCTGCAGACCAGGAAGAGGGTCCTTGCTAGAACCCAACCATTCTGTCACCTTCAACTCGGGCTTCTTATCTCCAGAACTGGGATAAATACGTGTCTATTTTTCAAACCCCCCAGTTTTATGGTAATTTATTCTAGCAGCCTGAATGAAGACACCACCTGAGGCATATGAAAGAGTCACAGTTATGGAAGCTTTCAGCCAGTGTCTGCATGATCTGAACCGGATATGAGCCAGGGAGGCAGCAAGGACTAGATCCAAGGTGAGAAGAAACCGGACGCACAGGCTCTGTGTCACACAGAGTTGTTGGCACTCTCCCTACCAGAGTCTCCTTGACAGCCTCATAGGGATGCTAATATGATTCCAAGGCTATTAACACTGACGCCCTTAAAAGGAACGTAGTCTTTAATAAATTTCAAACACTATTAAAAATAAACCAGGACTCCCTCTGAACCTCCCAGAGAAACCCACAATGGCATGTGCAGAGGGGTCAAAGCTCCAGCAGGGGCCCACAGGATTTTAGAGAACTGCCTTCTACAAGAAATATGACTTACAGGGCTTTAGGAAAGTCATTCTATCCTTTTTTCAAGAGGAGGGAATATCTGCCTGGATTCTGCAGGTCACTGTAAATTACTAGGCTGCTCTGGGGCCCTGCCCCTCGCCCTGCCCTCAAGGGGATCGTGCTTCTGAACTAGCTCCTGAACTAGACCCTGGCCCAGAGCTCCGCAGAACCTCCCAGGCTGAGATAGGTAAGCAGAGAACAGGGTGGGGAGGAGGACTGGGTGGGCTTTTTAAGCCACCCCGAGTCCCATACAGCTCCTGCTCCCTTAAAGGTCAGGGTACCTGCGTTCGGTTCCACATCACTGAGGCTCTTGAGTGGCCCAGCTTGTTCCTGCATGGCCCTTTGTCGTAATGTCTGAGGAAAATGTCATTCTGAAAAACAAAGAGAGAGGTTTCAGTAAACACGCTCTTTTGAATAGAGGACTAAACACTAACCACATCAGATGGCCGTGGTGGAAAGCAAAGGCTCTTTCCGGGAATACAAATGGTGGCCCCTGGGAATTCCAAGGCCACGATCTCTAGAATATGTCTCAGTACTTTCACAAATCACGGAGTGAAAACAGATCCTAATCATCGAGACCCTTGACTGAATCTAGAAAGGATTAGAGTCCTGACCAACCATCTTTGAAAGGTGGCCCTAGCACAGGTGTGACATGGAATGGAGATTTCAAGTGGAGAGTATGTGGGAAAAAATGCCAGCGGCTGAGATGGGAAACACAGACATGGGGTCCAAGAAAGGTTACTAACTCAATGGGGGAAGAAGGAGAAGAAGTCACAGATGAGAGGAAAGCGCCCAGACAGAGTCAGGAGCCTGGTCGAAAGAAATGACAACAGAGAGATGAACTTTGTTGGGAAGATGATGGCCACACTTTGGACAGTTAAACTCAAGAGATACTCAAGCCATACTGTTCAAAAGGCAGCTGATTACACAGATGAGAATTTGGGGGAAAAGATGGGAATCAGCGTACGTGGGGTGGAGAAAAACCACAGAAGTAGATGAGATCACCCAGGGAGAGAGTGTAGACAGGCAGGCAAAGAGGATGTAAGGAGGGAGCACCTGGGCGCCTCAGTTGGTTAAGCATCTGACTTTTGAGTTCGGCTCAGGTCATGATTTCGGAGTTGTGAGATAGAGCCCCATGCCCAGTGCAGAGCCTGCTTAAGATTCTTTCTCTCCCTCTTCCTCTGCCCCTCCCCCTTCTGGCTCTCTCACTCTAAAAAAAAGAAAAGAAAGAAAAACAAGAATGAGTCAAGGAGCACCTGCAAAGGAAATAGAAGTGGCCAGAAATGTAGACGGGAAATCAGAAGAGATGTCATCACTGAAGCAGAGGCAGTCAAGACGTCAAAGGCAGTGGAGACTCTAGGTTTGAGGAGGACTAAAACATCCACTGAATTTTATCCAAAAGACAGTACTCAAAGCCTTGGCAAAACACAGTCAAGCCTGTGACAATGTGGCAGGCTAAGTGCATTTCAAAGGACTGGAGGTAAGTATCAAGGATGAGAGGCAATTATGCTGTTTTGAGCTTGGCTTCCAAGAGAGGGAGAGAGAAAGAGAATGGTAGTAAGGGAGACATGCAGGCTTGAGAAAAATGGGACTCGTTTTTAAGTGGGACACAGCTGAGCACATAGAGATGTTAGTAAAAATTGAAATCACAGGAGAGAGAAGAGATAATGGAAAGGGACAAGTGTCTGAGGTCCCCAGAGCAGATTAAGAACACTTCGTCCTCTGAACCAGCAGGGATGAGGACCAAGGCAGCAGCAAACTCAACATCCCAGCAAAACTCAAAAATCACTCAGTTTGGGCATCTGTCTCAGGCTTGGCTCTCGGACAATCATCCTGCTCCCAGACCCAGGCTCTGAAACTTTCCTATAAACAAAGATCAACACCACCATCTGACACAGAACACTTGTCGAGAGAAAAACATCATTACCAACAAGCCAGTGCCCCTGGCGAAAACCAAGAAAATTAAATCTTGGAAAACAATGACCAGAAAAAGATGCTTCAGTATTTGCAGTCTGTGTATCCAGGCTTTTAACATCTGTGCCATTTCACCTCGAGCACCGAGCAGCCCAAGTAACGAACAGTGTGTTCCTTGCAACCCCATACCCCAAACATATTTCAGCCAAAGGATGGGGGGGTCTGGCACACATCTTTATTCCCTTACATTCTTGCTTCTTAAAAAGAACCTCATGGGCTCAGCCTCCTTGGGATATGAACCCAATTAATGTTCTGCTTAAACCTGAAGGCAAACAGAAAAGAGGTCTTTCTTTTGTAAAAACACGAGGAGTTTTCACAGTCAGTGAAAACCTCGCCCAGAGTATCACACGCTTGGAATCATAATGGGTCTCAAATATCACACATACATTCACGGGCTTAGGATCAATGGAATTAACCAAATAAATAAATAAATAAAAACACTGCCAAGATTCCACAGCCTGAAATGTCAGTTTTCTTTCCCCTAATTTATACCTCAGCTTGAAACGCCAAGATCGGGCTGACTAAAATTCTTCCACACAGATATCATCTGAAACAACTTGTCTAATTTTCACTTAAAAATCAGGCCCGTGGCAGCCAGCATGCATCCCATAATAGCCGCACACGGACTCCCTAACCATGTGATATTAACGGGTCACCAGAGCCACTTATCAGACTGAAGCCAACCAGGCAACTGAAATGAAAAATAGCGCGGGGCGCCCGGATGGCTCAGGCGGTTGGGTGTCGGGCTCTTGATTCCGGCTCAGACTGTGACCTCAAAGTCATGTGACCGAGCCCCGCATCAGGCTCCATGCTCAGTGTGGAGTCTGCTTGAGATTCTCTCTCTTCTCCTACCCTTCCCCCAACTTGCGCTCGCTTGCTCTCATTCTCTCTCTTAAATAAATAAATAAATCTTGTAAAAAAATAAATAAATAAATAAATAATTGAGAAAAGAAGGTTCACCCCACCATGACGGAGAGCTCACTCTGGTATCGATGTATTTCATTAGTCCACATTGCCAGAATAGGCACTATCTCTTCTTATTTGGGGTAGCACACACGTGCTAGAAGAAACACCAGAATTGAAGGGAGATCTGCTCTGCCATCCTTCACAACACCTTTTACCTCTGAGGGTACCGTGAGCCTCGGCTCGGGACTGCCTGAGCCGCACCTGGCCCGGGCCAGATGTGCTTCACCAAGGTGAGGGGGAGAGAGTCACTGAAGCAGACCCCATTATCCGGGAATGGAGCCCTAACAAAACCAGAGCAAGACCACAGTCACGCCAATGAATGGTTATTTAAGACATCCCCTTGATTTGAGTGGCTTTCTTCTTTAAATTCAAAAAGAGGAAGAGAACCAAATTATGGTAGGCGGAAAAACTGCTCGCCTACTGATGCCCGTGGCCCACTCCCCAGAATTTGAGAATTTGTTGGCTTTCGTGGAAAAAGGGACTTTACACATGTGATTAAAGTAAGAGCATGAGATGGCGGAGAACAGCCTGTATCATCCAGATGTGACCAGTCTAATCACTCTATCATCCAGATGTGGCCAATCTCATCAGAGGGTCCTTAAGGGCAGAGCAGCTTTCCCAGCTGTGGTCAGAGGGAGCTGCGACAAAGGAAGAATGGGTCAGAGAGATGTGATGTGGCTGGCTTCACAGGTGGAGAAAGGGGCCACAAGCCAATGAATGTGGGCAGCTTCTAGAAGCTACAAAACCCAGAAATGGATTCTCCCCTGGAATCCAGAAAAGAATGCAGCCCTGAGGACACCTTGATTTTAGTCCAGTGAGACCCACATCAGATTTCCAGAGGATAGAACTAAAGACAAAAAATATCTCTGTTGTTTCAAGCCACTACGTATGTGGTGATTTGTGACAGCAGCAAAATAAATGAACACACTGACGGCTCTCTACGTGATAAGAGGAGACAGTGCCCCCAACGCAGAAGCTGTCCCTAAAACGAAAGCTTGCCTTTAAAGCTAAGCTGACACAGTGAAGGGACTCAAAGGGACATTTGCTAGACATTTAAGTAGCAGCCTCAGAAAGAATCCTTAAGAAAAATAACCTTCTTTTGCAGGATAAACACAGACTCAAGATTTTAAAAGGAAAGCCTGGAGGATCCCGATGGGTGCACAGATCTGATGAAGAGAGAGACCACAGAAGACGCTTCCAGGTGGCACTTACGTCCAGGTTCTGGAGACAGTACCAGCAAAACGTGTGTTTGCAATTCTTGCACATCATCTGGGCACAGCCCTCGTTTCGTTCGATGTAAACCCGACAGACGGGGCACTGCTTGATGGGGGCTTCTGTGTCTGTCCCAAAGAGGGCCCTAGAAACGAAATGGATGAGAAATTATGGGGGGGGGGGCAAGAATGCTGCTAGAACTACAAGGGTGTCCACACTAACCAGGGCTGGGGAAGAGTGGGCCGAGTGTCATTAATTCAACAGGTCACTAGAGCCGCTCTAGATTCCACTTTACGCACCAACTGAATTCCTAGGGTTCCTGATGGGTGAGGTAGTGGCCTCTCCCTCATCTGAGTTTAATTCACTTCCATGGAAGAGGGTGGGGGTAAAAATAGGAGGGACACAGATTATTAGTCGTACGGATAATTCAAAAAAAAAAAAGAACCTTAATTTACATATCTTTGGCTAGGAGTCATGCTATAATTGTACTTTCCACACCTGACTTAGTTCCTTATTTGGCCGAGTTAGTATTTCATTCCCTGAGCACACACTGTCTAAAGCAAAAGCACAAGCGTTCTGCTACACAACAGAAAAACCAGTTCTGGATCTCACACGGCATAGACAAATCTTCTTGGCGATCTGTTCTGATAAAGAAACAGAACAGGTCGCGGGATGCAAGAATCAATACCTGAAAATCAACACCCAGCCTCATTAAAGAGCCTTGCTCCCGACGGATGCCTAGGTCAGCGCAGGCTCACAGACTTAAGAGGCACGGAAAATAAGTGGAACGCATGGGGGGTGCGGTTAGGGGAGCCACAGCGCCGTGCTGCACATTAGCTAGTGTTCATCAGAACCAGCCCCCGGTTCACGGAGACATCAAGTTCACAAAGCGTCCTTGGATCCAGGATCGGATTTGGTACTCAGAGTAACCGTATTACAGCAGTGGGACAGTTACCATTTTAATTCTTTCCCCTACCACCTTTTTTTTCCCCCAAATAGAGAAACAGACTCATAGAGGCTGAATGACTTCCATGAGGTCCTGCCGATACCAAGTGACCATGTCAGAACTCAACCTCTTAGGGTGCCCGGGTGGCTCAGCCAGCTGGGCGTCTGCCTTCAGCTCGGGTCATGATCCAAAGAGTCTGGGGATAAAGCCCCACATTGGCTCTCTGCTCAGTGGAGGGTCTGCTTCTCCCTCTGACTCCCCCCACCCCCGCCATGCTCTTTCTTAAATAAATAAAATCTTAAAAAATAAAAATAAAAAATAGAACCCAACCCCTCTCTGCTCTGGGATCTTCCCCTTGTCCCATGATGCCCGCAGACCTATCCGCCACGTGCAGAGGTTACTGGCTAAGAAGGCGCGTGCCTGCCCCGGGCACTAGGTCTAGTTTTCCTTTTGGTTTGTTTGGTCCCAGATTCAAGCACAGTATCCTAGCCAGGTAGCGCTCCTGTTCCTGAAGAATGGTGCCACGCTCTCTGAGGATGTGGGGGTGAGCCAGCCAACTGGACTGGGCACAGCAGTGCCTCTGTTCTCGCCGGTGCAGAACAGCCAGAGCCTCCAGAAAAGCCAGGGATCGTGCACAAAGGTCTCTCATTCTGGGCCCTTCTGCTGCCGTAAAAACCCTTTGTACTGAAAGGTACAGATTTAACTGCTTCTCATTGTCACCGACTCTGAACTTTGGCACCGTCTTTGCGGGGCACCACGTATAGGGGATGCAGCTCTTTCCCTCTAAGACCTGGGTACTGAGCATCGAGCCCCTGAAGGCCTGCCGCTTCTGTTGTGCTCTCTCCACAGGGCTGGCACACCCCACAGGCTGCCGCACGGTCAGGTCACAAAGTAATTTCCGCATCGTTTTGCAGGCAGGAAGAAATCCACGGCAGGTGCTCGTGGCTTCTAAGCAAACGGCTGTGGACGAGCCATGCCTGGCTATTGAAAACCAGGGGGCCATGGGCCTTCCAAGCTGAAGAAAAATCAAAATGCCTTCAGACCCTCATTCCAGTGGTATCTGGTAGAGTCTCCAGGGGTAAATACCTAAAATCCCCTTAGAAAGACTGTGTCGGTTACTCTTTGTTAACAACTTCCCAGTTCGGAGACGCTTCTCAGGGAAGTTCCACGGGGGAAAGAACCCATCTCTGAATTCCATCACAAGAGAACTCCTTCTCCAAGTGACCTATTTGGGGTGAAAAATCACAAAGACCATTTCTCCTTTCTTACCTGTGCTCTGTTGGCAGGACGATGGGCTGACTATCTCTACAGGAGACCTCTGCGTGCCAAGCATCCTTGCAACAGGAGCAGAACTTCAGGTGGCAAGAAGGGCACTCCACCTGCACGGGCTGTCCTGGGTCACCGGAGGCAACAGGGCACACGGTCTGACAGTCTGCGACAGGACACCACGTTCGGTGGGGGTCCAGGTGAACTTCTAGAGCATAAACAAAGAAAATGTGGCGGTCTATGTGTCTTTCGTACGGGCCTAGACTTTCCCTCCTTCCTTCTTCTCTTTTATAGGCTAATGTTTATGGAAGGTTAGTACAACCGAGGGCAGTGACTTCTACTCTTGGTCTTCATAATGGACCCAGACCTACGAGGTCACTCAGCTCTGCCACGTTTCTCAAAGTAGGTACTAGTGGAAGAGGCCACCACTGCCCTTACGAACAGATAGGAAGTGTTCTCACTAACCCAAATGGGCAAGTCTTTTGGAATACTTCTCACCTTTCAGCACTCAAAGTAGGCAAAAATCTTAAGTCCCTGCTACAACTATTTGGGGGTATTATCTTGGGAGGAAAACTGGACCTGAAGGACCTACAGAAGCAAAAGGAAAAAGAAATTCATGGGATTTTGTCCTTTCCGGGACTGAGAAATAAGCAGTGAGGTTTCTTCCTACCTTTTTTAGAGGAAACTGAAAGAACAAGGAAGAAATCAAATAGTTGAAGGACCAAACAGTGCCTGGTGTGGCTTAGCCAAGAAGTCAGATTAGCTGTCAATTTGGATATTCTGTTCTCCTACCATATGCTAGTTAGAGATATTTGTAAAAGACTCAGAAGATCCACAATCAAAAGGTTTCACAGACCACAAAATGATAGTCAGTTATAGACTATACCAACCACATCCAAGTGGCCTGTAGGAAGGAATATGGAGTTGGGGGTAAGCCGACTGTCATTCTATTCAAATGTTTACAAATCTTGTTTGGTTTTCCATTTTTCTATTCAATAACAGACCTCACATTCTTGTCTTACAATGTGACCTTTAAGGGAACATATCATGTAAAAATGATGTTATTTGAGGAAAAGAGTTGCCCTTTTTTCTCTGAACCAATGTATTTTGCAAATTTTAAACTGATGGATTCCAGTTTTAAATCTCCTAAGGCTTATGATTCTTGGAAATTTCCACACAGGAGGCAAAAAGACCCAAAGAGTGGTGCGAAAAGGAAATGAAGGCATTAAGTATGAGCTTAGTTTTAAAGGTAATAATTTTACAAATTCAGTATCAGGGGAAATAAGTCCAAAATGTTCCAGCAAACACGGTCTCCATTAATCTCTCGTCTAGAAAAGACAGCAATCAGATCCATGCTTATTACAGGTTTTCATTCAAAAAGAGAACACTTACACTTATTTTCTTATCTAATAATTCTGGGGAATAGGGGTTGGAGAACGATGAGCCAAATAAAATCAGAAAAGGGAAACCTATGATTCACAGGTGCTCAGACCCCAAGAGAGATGGACCCTTGAAAGAAATCCCCAAAAGTTTGAGAAAGGCTAGTTAGAAAATCAAGGGAACAGTGACACAAACCTCTGCTCCAAGGTCCTGACCTTTTATTTCCACACATTTATATTTTTCTTCCAAACTCTTATAACGGCTTCACAAACACCAAGTCCAAAGAAATGAAGGCTGGTGTATAAATTAGAGCTAAGGACTCACACATCACCTACCTTCTTAACCACCCATTCCAAATCACAGGACTTTTAATTTTTTTCTAAGATTTTATGTATTTATTTCACAGAGAGAGAGAGACAGTGAGAGAGGGAACACAAGCAGGGGGAGTGGGAGAGGGAGAAGCAGGCTTCCCTCTGAGCAGGGAGCCCCATGCAGGGCTGGATCCCAGGATCCTGGGATCATGACCTGAGCCAAAGGCTGACGTTTAACGACTGAGCCACCCACGTGCCCCCAAATCCCAGGTCTTTTAAAGGACTGACAATACGGAAAGGAAAGGAAAGACTCATATTATAGTTAAATTTGTAACATCCCTGCGGACCACCGTAAAAAAGATACAAGGATACGACTTGTCCTCATAATTCTAATCCAAATTATTTGGTAGGCATTCTGAGCTGTTTGTTTGTACCAGCTTATTTTTCAGGTATCCGGGTTGCCACAATAAAAGCAGAAACAATAAATACGGGAGCAGTTACAAATTTTGATGAATCCCCGTAAAGAAAAACAAACGTAGGAGGCAAGGCGGCTGATGCACACTCCAGTGCAAAAAGCAACGGAAGAGTCTGAGCTGCAGAACGCAGCGATGCTCTGAACTTTCCTCCGTTTCGACAGAACAAGAATGATGAGGCGAAGGAGATGATGGAAGGGGCAAAACGGAGACATTGCAGCCTTCTCCTTACTTCGTTAGAAGTCTCGGTCTTTAGGGATCGCTTACAGAGCTTAACCAACACCCGAAGTGGAGTTACCAGGAGACAGATTTCAACCCTATCCAGAACTGTAGGGACTCCTCCAGCCACCTTTACGGTATCTGGCCAACATCTGACCCAGCTTCTTTCAAACCTCCCGGCTGAGAAAGCTCAGGTCTCTATAGACACACAACGCAGCGGACTTGCGCTCTCAGTCTCCCGTGCAGCCAGGGTGCGGTCATGTGACATGGTTCTGACCAATGGGAGGTGAGGGAAGGCCGCAAGGGGCTTCTGGGACTAGACCTCCTTCCGGATACTCGGGCAAGAATCTTCCTTCCGTCTGCGAGCCTGTGAACGTGGCTGTGTGAAGCTGTGATGCCCGGGCCGCCACAACCCTGCGAACTCTAACGGGAAAATTGCAGGAGTTGGAGAAGTTGAACCGCTCCGTCAACCACACCCGCAACTGCCTACCTCTGGATTTCCTGTGCGTGAGGGAATTCAGTGCCTTCGCTGGTTAAGGCACTTGTGAGCCCGGCATTCTGTTCCTTGCAGACGAAATCATCTCAACCCATAAGGTTACCTCTAGCAACAGGGAGCAAATGCCCAGGTCAGACAAGGACTGCTCCCTCCAGTGCGGATGGTAAGTTTACAAAGGGGATTAAAGTACCATGTCCGAGACGAGCTTTAAAGTCTTTATAAGTGAGGCACGAGGAAATGGGAGTATGCAAATAGAAATAAAATATACATTACACATCATCCTGTAGAAAACCTTATTTCCCATAATAAAATTTTATTTTTATTATTTATTAACCTTTTTAATAATTAACACCCTGTGCCAGACCCATAAGGCTTTTGTGTAGGTTACTAGACAAATAATAGAAATCCATATAGCTGAACACTATGTAGCTCTAAAATAAGGTGAACCGATGTGACAATATGGAAAGATCCCAAAGATATACTGCCAGTTCAAAAATGCAGATTGAGGAAGAGTATAAATGAACCATGTTTATAAGAGCATGTATATATAGAAATATGTTTTAACATTTTCAGAAAATCTAAGAAGCATAAGAAGAGTTATCCTTGAGTAAAGGGCAGGGGCTGTAATCGGAGGCAAAGATTTCGTTTAATACTAAACTTGAATTTGTTTTTTAAGAAATATTTTATTTGAGAGAGAAAGAGAGAGAGAGAGAGCATGAGTTGAGGGGGCAGAGGGAGAGGGAGAAGCAGACTCTCCACTGAGCCAGGATCCAGATGCGGGGCTCAATCCCAGGACCCTGAGATCATGACCTGAGCCAAAAGCAGCCGCTTAACCAGTTGAGACATGCACATGCCCCTAAACTTGAATTTAAAAAGAAACAAGAGCAAATGCTACTTTTATATATATATTTTTTTACTTTTATAATTTTTTAAAGCTAGTTTTAAAAGGCTACTACCAACAGCACCTGGGTGGTCAGTCGGTTGGGCATCTGACTCTTGGTTTGGGCTCAGGTCATGATCTCAACGTCAGGAGATCAAGCCCGGCTTTGGGCTCTGTGCTCAGTGGGGAGTTTGCTCAAGATTCTCTCCCTCGCTGCCCCTCCCTCCCTCCCCCTGTGCTTGCACACTCTCTTTAATAAATAAGGTTGCCTGCATAGTTCAATCGGTTAAGCATCTGCCTTCAGCTCAGGTCATGATCTCAGGGTCCTAGGATTGAGTCCCACATCGGGCTTGCTGTTCAGCAAGGAGTCTGCTTCTCCCGCTCACTCTCCCTCTCTCTCAAATAAATAGATAAAATCTTTTTTAAATTTTTAAAAATTAAAGGCTACTGTCAATTTGGTATATGAATAATAGGCTAATAAAATAATTCTGGATCTAAGCTCTTCCCTGGAAAATCATCTACTTTTTCTATTCAAATTTCCCCTCCGTTTCACATTCTTCTCCATATATTCAATTCTCATTCTAGGCTTTTCCTTACCCTAAAATTCATCTCATCTTTAACCAAGTTATAGCCTATCCATTCTTAAAGGACCTACTACATGGGGCACCTGGGTGACTCAGTTGTTAAGTGTCTGTGTTTGGCTCAGGTCATGATCCCAGGGTCCTGGGATCGAGGCCCACATCGGGCTCCCTGCTCATCAGGAAGCCTGCTTCTCCTTCTCCCATCCCCCTGCTTGTGTGCCTGCTCTCACTCTCTTTCTCCCTGTCACATAAACAAATAAAGTCTTTTAAAAAAAAGATTTAAAAAATAAAGGACCTACAACATACTTGTCTTAATTTTGGTGTCACAGAACCAGCATCTTGTTCATTGCTGTCCTCTAGTCTCTTCATGGAGATGGCCCTTCTCTCTTTAGGTTGAAGGCAAGGAATACTTATTTTATTTGTGTGTTCCAATACACTGACACAGTCTTGGGATGCTTCCTGTTGATTTATAGCAGTCATTCTTGGTTTTTTGCAAAAGCTAGATATAGTCCTCTGCCAACAATTGCCTTACAATACACATACTACTAATACCATCTTGAATTGCCTTGCACTGGAATTTATTTTCCATTCTCTTCTAGTGCTTTCATCAACAGATGTACATAGCACACTAAATCCATCCAATACCAGTCCAGGTGTTGAAAGTATGTTATGATCGTTATTAGACTCTAAAAATCTCCACCCACCTCAGTTAGGCTCTCTACATTTGGAAAGACACCAACTTGGCAAAACATGGAACTTTACATATAGCACTCTCAAAATTAGACCTCCTTTATGAAGCATCACCTATAAGGGTGACAACGAAAAAAATTTCTAACATTAAAATGAACATTACCCTTGCTAGAACCCT